TATATATATTTTTACGGGTTTTAGAATATAATTAAGTATATAATTATTGTATTTTTATATTAATTAGCATTAAAAATATAAAAATTATTATTGATTTCATCACTAGTGTCACGTAAATTATTCTAATTAAATAGTTATTTAAATAAAAGTTAATTTTCATTTTTTTAATATTAATTAATATAAAATATGTATAATAATTATATTTTTAACCTGTGCAATTAAAAAAAAAGACTCTATTTTCAGTAGTAATTTTTGATATTATTGCTTGTAACATAGGCCTAGTAAGTGTTTGAAATATTCTATTTGTCTTAAAATAACTGTTATTTTTTAATTTTGAGTTTTTTTCAAATTAATTATTTTTTTAATTTTTTAAAATAGACAAATATTACTTTTCTTATTTTAAACCTATTATCATTCATTTATTTTGATTAATTATCATATCACAAAAAAGTTAACTTTATCTTTTAACATTTTTAAAAATAATATGGATAAATACATAAATTATCTTTAAATTTTTAATTAAAAAAAAGTAAAAAACTGACCATTTATTTAAAATAGAAATAGCATGCATTCAAAATTTGTCAAGTCCATATCAGGGGATATTTTGTGGCTGCTGTGAGAGTTTATATTATTAAATTAGCTTTTTTTAAAAAATTTATTTATTTTTTCAAATAATCTTATATTTATTATAAAATATTTATTTTTTAAAAAATATATTAATTTAACCATTTAAAACTATAGTGTAGCCTAATAAAAAAATATTGAGTTTTATGTTTTAAGACTTGTTATTTTGGGTAGGGCATATACTATTATTATTAGAAGAGAAATCTATTTACATATAAATTTTATATGCTACACTTATATAAAATCTTAGTTATTCATCTTTTTATTTTTAGTAATTGAGATTTCACATAACTTTTTAAGTAAAAAAAGTTAATTATCTTTAATAAATATAATAAAAATGAATAAATTTTAATCATTAAAAATGGATAGATGAATGGATATTATATAAGTATGATGTGTAAAATTTATATAAAAGTGGATCTCTACTCTTATTATATATTAATGTTTTTCAACAATTGATTACTATTAAAATTGATTTGAATAGCATAACTAAGACCAATATGAGATTTTATACAATAGGCTCCAATAATAATGTATACTTATAGAACGCCCGTTCGGTCCAGTGATATGAGCCCTAGATTAAGGCCGTTCACCTAATTCGGGTCACATGTTTAGACCTCGTGCAATCCTTTTTCTCTTTCTCAATTAATATATAAATAATTTTAAATCTGTTAAAAAAAAATGTATACTTATAAAATGAACGAAAGTTAGCGATGATCTACAACGTGATTAGCATAGCAATAGAGATAACAAGACTCTAAATTTTCTTTATAAGTTAAGGAGTTTCATAGAGTATAATGTATATTTTTTTAATTTATATAAAGATATAGTGAGTAATTTGGTGACAATAAATTTATCATAACTTCAAAAAATATATTAAATATGTAAGAAAATTTTGTTGTCACATAAATAGTAAACAACTTAGAAGTATATTAATTTGAGTTTTATATTAGTTCACCATGATAAAGTCAAATATATTAAAATTTCAAATTTTGGTGTCACTTTAGTCAATTTTCTATTTTAATTAACTTAATTAGTTAGTTAGCTCAAAATTTTTAATTTTAATTATTTAAATAATTAGAATTAATTGATTTTAGTACTTAATTACTTTACATTTAATAATTTTATTATAT